CATTGTACTATTTATTTCTCCAGCCCCATAAAATTGATTTTTATTTGTTTTGGGGGCGCACACCTGACGATGCTCAGGGCTTATTCCTGGCTCTGCACTCAGGAATTAATCCTGGTAGCACTTGGGGCAGGGGACCATATGGGATGCTCTGGACTGAATCCAGGCAAGTGTCCGACCTGCTGTACTATCTCTTCCACTCCAGAAAATTGATTTTTAACCCCACACACGCACACACACTAAATTCATTTCTTTGGGGCCAGAGATGAGGCGTGTTAAGTTTATCTTGGTTTAATGACAAAGGATTTTAAATCTTAAGTAAATTATAAACCTTTTCACCTATAACAGGGATGAAAATAAAAGACCTGGTAAGGGCGAACAATGACTGGCGCAAACAGAAATGGGAGAGATCAGACGGAATGACAGAGGAATCATAGGGAGTTCCCAAATCTTGGTTTAATCTTTCATCTGACAAATGGAAGATTACCGAACATCGTAAGAAATTACTTGTTTCGTGATAGATTTTAAAAGACAGATAAAGTTTTAAAATAGGCCACTTACAAACATTCATGTAAATCTAAAAATCATCCCCTGGCTGCCTAAACGGAGTATGAATGGTCCATCCCCGAACCTACCCATGGCAACCATGGGAAGAACCGTCCTTCTTGGTAGAATGTCCTTTCTCTCCATCTTTATTCTTACATCCTGTTCCTTCTCAGGTGTCAGCTGCCTGGTCCAGCTCGTCTCCTCATCTCCTCTGTGTGATGACAACAGGCTTCTTCCAGTGACTCAAATTCCTCCGTTGTCCAGGACAAGCTTCCTGTCTTTCCATTCATTCCATTCCTCAGCTTACAGATAGCGATCACGGTTATGTGCTAACTATTGCCCACTGCTGTTATACCATCTCATTTGCCGAGCAGGTTACTTTATTGGGTTGCACACCCCTTTAGTAACATCCTCCATCCCCAAATCACTAATCGCCCTATCCCAATATCCTCCTTTTTCTCCTCAAACTCTATTCTCAAGGCTTAATCAAGAATTCATAGTTCTTATGCAGTATAATTTGTATTATGAATTAGCTTTTTACCTTTTGTTTTATGTGGTTCTGTTCTTGCTTTGTGGGTTGGATTTATCTACCTACTGCCTATTCATCTTTACTGCAAATAATTCACCCTCAGTCTTTTTTTTTTTTTTTTTTTTTTTGCTTTTTGGGTCACAACAGAGATGCTCAGGGGTTACTTCTTTTTTTTTTTTAGTTTTTATTAGTGAAACACCATGAGGTACAGTTGTAGACTTACAAATTTTTGTGCTTGGGTTTCAGTTATACAGTGATCGAATACCTATCCCTCCACCAGTGCCAATTCTCCACCACCACGGGTCCCAGTATCCCTCTCACTCCCCACCCCCCCACAACCCACCCTGTCTCTGTGGCAGGGCATTCCCTTTTGTTCTCTCTCTCCTTTTGGGTGCTATCGTTTGCAAAAGAGGCATTGAGTGACAGTCATGTTTGGTCTATAGTCTACTTTCAGCATGCATCTCCCATCCTGGGAGGATCCTCACAACACCCTTTGTTTGGTGCTCCCTTCTCTATCTGAGCTGCCTTTAACCCTAGAGTATGCGGCTGGCCTCCAAGCCATGGAGTAAACCTCCTGGTACTTATCTCGGCTATTCTTGGGTGTTAGTCTCCTATTTTGTTACTTTCTGTTCCCCAGATGAATGCAATCTTTCTATGTCTGTCCCTCTCTTTCTGACTCATTTCGCTTAGCATGATACTTTCCATGTAGTACCACTTGTGTGTAAATGTCATGACTTCATCTTTTCTAACATCCTCTAGAACCCTGGAACAAAAGCAGCCCAGAGCCTCTTTCTCTTCGTCCCCAGCGCTGTGCCGGGCTTCTTTCCCACCCAGCCTTTACCACCCCCCCCCCCCCAACCAGGTACCCGTGGGGGCATGACCTCTTCAGAAGCGAGCGTGGCTTCGGTAGAAGTGGGCGTGGCCTAATTTTAGGGGGCCAACGCTCACGCGGCGGCAGATACTTTTCTCATACCAAGAAATCAGGGGTTACTTCTGGCTCTGCACTCAGGAATTACTCCTGGCGGTGCTTGGAGGACCAAACGGGATGCTGGGAATTGAACCTGGGTCGGCCTCGTGCAAGGCAAACGCCCGACCCGCAGTACTACTGCTCCAGTCCCACCCTGTCTTTTTAATCTATAAACCATGCCTCTGGGCTCTTACAGTTGTGTGAGCTTATTACTAACATAGCTATAACAAAACATACACATACGTATGCAGTGATTATTACTGTTTTGAGGACCAAAGTGTAAGTTGATTTTTAACGGTGCTTATCACTTAAAAAACAAGTGACCAGAAATCTACAACAATGGGTAAGGCTTTGCAGGCCGCTAACCTGGCTTTAATACCTCGCACCCCATGTAGTTCCCCAAGCCCGCCAGGAGTGATCCCTGAGCGCAGAGCCAGGAGTGAGCCCTGAACATTGCCACGTATGGTGCCCCTCCCCACAAAAAAACCCCCATGAATTTGTAAAGATGTTTGCATATTCATGTTCACTGCAGCACTCTATAATAGCCAGGATCTGGAACCAACTCGTGTCCAACAACCGATGGACAGACAAAGAAATTGGGGCATATACCCACGGTAGACTACTATTCAACCTTAAAAAAGCATAAAAGCGTGCAGTTTATTTCAACGTGGATGGAAGTGCAGGGTCTCGTGCTTCAAGGCGAAGTGAGTCAGAAGAAAGACAAACACCAGTGATCCCTCACTTGCAGGAGGAGTACGAAGAAGCAAAGCAAAGAAATGGCTTGTGCCTAATTGAAACGAACCTGTAGATGCCACCAACAGGGCTGGAAACAGGCTGCCAAGGGAGGCAGAGTCAGTATCTTTGGAACAGCAGTCGGGGGATTCTAGCACTCCTTAGCAGGTGTGATGCAGTTGTAAGCATAAATGTAATAATAATATCATAAAACATGATAACCACAGTAAATAAAACTGGGGAGTATAAAAATATGCAGTGGTAAATTTTCAGGGGAAGCAAATGCCAGAGTCAGTATTGCAAACAGGATAAACTTGAAGGCTGGGAAGGGGAGATCGCTTGGGATACCTGCATTTGACTCAAAGTCTTTAGGGGGCTAACACAAGGCAGGGTTTGTATGGCTCCTGGCAGAGCAAATACAGATCTTTAGAGAACGTATACTCCCAATTTAAACCCTGGCAACCCCACGGATTCAGTTTAGGTAAATGAAGTTTAAAACCTAAAACTACGAAAGATACAAACAAGCTAACAGGCAGAAGTGAGTCAAAAATAAGAAGAGGGATTAGATGCCCAAGATACAGAAAACAATTCCAATGAATTTGAAAGAATGTCAGTGAATTCCAGAGAGGCCTTGTTCGCTGAACACAAATGATTAAATGAAAATTACTACCAAAAAAGCCCACAGGGCAGAGTCTGGCAAACTCCCCGTGGCGTACCCAATATGCCAAACACCAGTAACAATGATGGGTCTCATTCTCCTAAAGAGCCTTGAATATAATCTCAGGGCTAGGATGAAAGAGACGTTACTGGGGCCTGCTCGAGGCAATCGACGAATAAAAATCGACGACTACCAAAAAGATATCTTTAAAAATATCTAGGCATGGGGGCTGGAGAGATAGGGCATATGCCTTTCATGTGGCCAGCCTGAGTTTTATCCCCAGCATCCCAAAAGTTCCCTTGAACATGCCAGGAACAATTCCTGAGTTCAGAGGCAGGAGTAACCCTTGAGCATCGCTGGGTGTCTCCAAAACAAAACAAAAGTTATGAAAGAACAAAACTTCAGAGGCTAGAGTGGTAGCACAGTGGGGCGGGCGCTTGCCTTACAGATGGTTGACCTGAATTCAACTCCTGACATCCTATATGGTCCCCCAAGCACTGCCAGGAGTAATCCCTGGGCATTGTTGGTGTGGTCCAAAAACTTAACTCCCCCCCCCAAAAAAAAACCCCAACAACAACAAAAACTCACGCCAAAGTTCAATCTAAAGAAAGCAGAAGGAATAACTATAGATAAGATCCACTCATGAAAGCAAAAATACATACATATAGGAGAGAATCAACAAAGAGAAAAATAAATCTGGCGGTAATTGGTTAAGCAGGGACAAGGTTCAAGCCCTGCTGGTGCTATGGTGCAGTGCTGGGGTTCACGCTTTGAAGGCACAAAACCCAGTGGTCCGTCCCTGGCATCAGAAGGACAACCAACCAACCCACAAGTTAATAGAAGTGAAAACAGAACATGAATACTTAGCAGAGGCTTAAACTTCTTTTCATAAAGACACGAAGTGCGCCAAATCCTAAAAAAACTTTACCTAAATTGATTCAAGAAGAAACAAAATTCAAGTAGCCTGTAATTATTTAAGAAACTGTGTCAAGGTTTGTAAGTTTCCCACAAAGAAATACCAGGTTCACATGGCTTACCAGGTAAGTTTTACCAAATACTCAAGTTCATTATTGACAGTTCATTTCAAGCTGATGGAAACTTTTCCGGAGAGTGAGAGGGTGGGCACAGCCTCCAATTCAGAGGATATACAGATGAACGGAAAAAATCTTAGAAACCGTTTTAGAAATCTTAAGAAAAACAAAGGCACTGTCATATACAAGAATGTTCATAGCAGCATTATAATAGCAAAAAATTGGAAGCAACTCAAAGGTCCATTGATAAGTAAATTACTTGTGGTTTAAGCCCTTGATGGAGTTATATATATATATATATGAAAATGAATGCATCATAGCTACAGCAGTGAATCTTAGAAATAATGTGAGAAAATTAACTGTTAGATTACTAGAACATTTTGTCAACCTAAAAAGCAAAACTGAAAATACATTTTTAAGGATTCATACACGTCATTAAATATTTAGCAATTAATCAAAGTCAGGCCCATGATCACTGCAAGGGGGACACAGGGGAGGAACACAGGAAACTAGACCATTTTAATGTTGGCTGGCGGGTCATAAGCTCTTGTTTATTACACCTCATAATTTATTCATGTTAAATATATTCTTTATATATATACCAAGCATTACATATGATAATCTTTGAAAAGTCTCTTGTGGTGGAAATAAGTGAGCAGATGAAGCCTCCTTGAAAGACAAGTCTGTGTTGTTTTTTTTTTTTTTGGAGAATCGAGATGCCCTACTGGCTGCCCTTTGTGCTACAGAGGAAGTCCCCCATGTGTACTGATGGCTTTGCAGCCTCCTCTCCTCTTCTGGAAGCACCTGGAAGTCTGCACTGCCTTCCTTCCACCCCACCTGAATCCCACAATCCTGGCTACATCTTGATGCATGTATGACAAAACACTGACACCTGGTGGGTACAGAATGCATTTAATAAGAGGACTGGGAAGTAAACCTATTGTCTTACTGCCACTGTCAGGGAGACAGAGGGGATACGGAGGCAGGAGGAAACGAACACTCTGGAAGGGAAAGGAAGGAGCTCCAGCTCTGAGCTGTACTGTGGAGAAGCTGAAGAGTCCACTGAGAGAAGTCCCTCATTCCTCAGAGGCTGCCAACAAGGTGGGAAGAGGTTCCAGTTGTCGTCCAAAGAGCAGGTGGAGCTGTCCTCTGCCTAGCCTAGGGCATGTCTGTCTGTCGCTGTCATGGCACGGCTGTCTGTCGCTGGCTCCCAGCCCAGACAACTCCTCCCTCCCAGGCACCTGATTCTAAGGGGGCTGAGCCAAGCCCTCCACCCCAAGGAGCATCCATCATCGGTCACCTCCTGGCCTGTGATTGCTTTGGGACGGGCCTGGGCCCCAGTCACGAGTGCCTCACAGGCCTTGGCAAGGGTTCCTGGCACCATCTTGGTGTGTCACGGGGGATGTGTGGTTCTAGGGTTCCCTGCAGCCACGAGGTAGCCCGGGCTCAAGAAGACCCACAAAGGCAGAACTTGGAGCTAGGCCACGCATGCTGGGTCACTGGGTCCACTCTACCTGGAGCCAGCATTAGCTCCTGGTTTCCCAGTCACGCGGGCCAATGGATCTTCCAGTCAGTCTCAGATTTCCTGTGATTTCGAGTCAAAATAGTTCTGATCTATACATTCATCATATGCCAACCCCGTCCTTCCACGGGAGAGAGCAGGGACTGGGCAAGAAGGCCATGGCTGATTTCTGAGTGACTCAAAAGCAGAGGGCAGACTGAGCTGCGAAGATCAGAAGCAGGAAGCAGGCACTGTGGAACTAGCCAGGGCGCGGCGGCGATCTCCACGGACGGGCAGGGGTTCCTTTGGCCAGGGAAGAGTCGGATGAGATGCAGGACAGCGAGGGGCCTCGGGGAGGCTGGCAGGCGGAGTTAATACGCAGACAGAAACACGTCCCCGCGGACTCCTCACGGGGGTATTGCTTTGGGGTCTTTCCGCTCTTGGGACAAGGAAGTATGAAGCACGTGTGCCTTCAAGTCTTTATTACCCTGAGCTGACCTGTCTGCCTCCCCCTTCCCCACGTGGAGAGCCTCCCTTTGACTTCTACTGCCCTTGATGACACTCACTTTGGGGGCCACAAGAGGAACTTCCTCTCCTGCATCTTTGGCATGGCGGGAGCCGGGGCCCTTCCCTGCTCTGGAAGCAGCACCGTGCTCCTGACCTGGCCTTGGCAGCGTCCCCTTCCTGGCTTCCCCTGCAGGTCCTGGTCTCTCCGTGCCTCCAGCTGGGCCGCTTTCCCAGGCGGTGGTGCCCGGTGCCTGTGGGATGCTTGAGGACCGGGCAGAGTCCAGGCTAGCTGCTAATTTGTCTGGGGTGCAATTCCTTTCTCTGCTTCCACCCGATTTCCGCGGACGCCCCCGTTTTCTCTTGGCATCGCCTCCTACTTCCTCTGTCTCCTGCTTTGCTGCTTTTGCTGCTGGGTCCTGCCCACTGGCCTCACCCACAAGTACTTCGGCTGTTCTTTTGACACCTTTGTCACGGGCGTCTGGGTCACCACTCACGCCTACCTCCCTCTGCTCTGTGCCCCGGGGCTGGGCGAGGACGCCGGCTGGAACGGGCCCCGGCCCAGGCAAAGCAGGAACAGTCGGCAAGATCATGTTGATGATGGGCACAGGTGCCTGGGGGCCCCCTGCCCTACTGGCCAGGGGCAGCGTGGCCACTTTCAGAGTCCCCGAAGGCAGTTTGGGGGCCAGGATGGGCGGCGAGACTCTGATGGGCGGGATGAGTGAGCGCGGGGCCCTGGGGAGCAGCAGGGGCAGCCGGGCCACCAGGGCGTTCACCTGCGGGTTACTGGCTGCTGGCGCTGGGCTCTCCGCTACGTTCTTCTTCCGCTCACCGCGTGCTGGGACCGTGGTCCCAGCCCGGGACTCCAGCTCTTTAGGAGGCTGAAAACGTGCAGAGAGAGGATCGGGGGTCAGTGGGATGGGAGGGTGGACGTGGTGGGAAACGGGGTCAGGAGGGGAAGAGCACGGAGTCCCCCCCGCCCTTCGGAAGGGCAAACCCAAGCCCAGCCCAGGCATCACCCTCCTTACTGGGGCCGTTCTCTCGGCTCTCTTATGGGTGCCACCCCCCAGGCTCTCCACACCGTTCTTAGACTTAGTCGACCGTTCGCGAGGGGAATGCTCATCCTCTTCTGCAGAAGTGCCAGAGAAAGGGAGCGGTGAGGGGAGGGGGACACAGACTGGACGGGGAGGTGACTCTGAGCGCCACCGGCGGAGGAGGCCAGGGACCGAAAGGCAGCACTGGGGAGCCTCCGGAGCAGAGGCCGTCGGGGCGGGGGCACCCACCGGGCATCCCCGAGGCCTTGAGCACGTGTGCGTGCGTGGAGCGGGCAGAGATGAGGTGTTGCTGCAGCAGGAAGCGGGCGACCTCCACGATGGAGCTGAAGGACCGCTTGAGGATGCGCTCGGCCCAGTCGCAGGTCAGGGCACAGGCGGCCTCCACCAGCTCGTCCCGGGGCGCTGGCGTCACCTCGGGGCCCACCTCCGGCTGCAGCAGAAAGAACAGGCCCCGTCACATGCCACTGCCAGCAGTCCGGACCCTCACACCCCCTCACACACTGACACAGACCTGCGTGGCTCGGGGGCAGCCCCACCTCTGCCCCCATCCTCAGCCGTCCACGCAGGCACAGGGCCCCGGGCAACGTGGCTGCACACGTCCACGCGGGAAAGATGCCACTTACGCTCTCAGAGCCCTTGAGGTCAAGTCCAGGCAAGGGCGGCATTGACACCAAGGTCTTCCTCCGGATGCCGCTGTAGCAATATCTGACACAAGTTAAGGAAGGAGCAGCCGAGCCTCAAGGCAGCCGCTTCCACCCGGGCTCCCTGCTCCCCCCCAACCTCTCCAGCAAGGATACTTGGACTGGCCACGGCCGCCAAGCCTCCGGGCCTTGATATCGGGGAAGATCTCTCGGATGATTTTGCCGAAGTTGGCTGTGCTGAGGGGGCGGCAACAGGCCAGGCTCTCACAGTACTTACTAAGCGAGAGGGGGCATGGAGAGGGGGGCAGATGCAGAAGATATTCAGAGAAGGAAGCCATGGGTGGGGGAAGAGCATCCTCGGGGCATGTCCGGGATGGCCGTGGGGGGACCCCAGTTCCCACAGCAGGGGCAACGAGGCAGGGAGGAGGCAGCTGTGGACTCTGGGTGAGCCTCTCTGCAGAGAAGAACCATCCCCCTCCCCACCCCCAAGCAGGGAGGAGCCTGGAGTCCTGTCCGTGGAGTGTGGGACGCCACCCACCGATAGGCGTCATAGACGCTCTGCTTTGGCAGACAGGTGTCAGTGTGCTCCTCCAGGTGGTTGCGAATCCACTTGTAGGCATACATGTACTCCTCGTTGCTGAGGGCGCTGGGCTCGGAGCTGTGGGAGCACAGGGGACCAGAGTCTCAGGGCTGCCCTGGCCCAGACCAGACCGAGCATGTCAGAGAGCGGGACACGGTCCATCCAGAGTCCGCCTTTTCCCAGTATGCCAAGGCAGGGACCGCTGGGCAGGAACCACTGTTCCTTTCGCTCCTCCCCTCCTCCAGAAGCTGGAATGAAGAGAATCTGCACCGCCGACAGCCAGAAGCCCAGCGCCCAGCTTACCTCTTGTCGCCAGCACTGGGCCCGGCGGGAAGTTGAAGGTAGAGATACAACTTGTCATTGTCAGAGAATTTCTGGACATCTTGCTGGGGGCAGGGAGGAACAGAGACAGAGGACCCAATGGGGCCGGGAAGGACCCAAGGCAGGCCCCGCCGGATGTCCAGCCTGCCTGGCCAGCTTGAAGATGATGAGAGAAACGGACTCGAGGATCGGAGGAACAGCAAGGGCTCTGGGGGGTGGCGGGGGGGAGCAGGGACTGGGGCAGGTGCCGTGACTGTGTTTCTCCCCTGCACCTGCCTGAGAGGTCACAGCCAGAGGAAGCGGCAAGCAGCAGGGCCGAGTATGTTCTTCGAGGGCAGACGGCACTGCCCGGGCCACCTCCGCCACTCTGAGCCTTCCTGGCCCCCCACCAGCCCCATCTCTCCAGCAGCCCCCAGACACTCACCAGGATCCCCTCCACTTTGTTCTGCACAGCCTTGCTGTGGAAGGAAGAAAAGGCTAGAGGTCAGGCGGGCACTGTCCTGCACCCCTGCTGGGGGGAGGGAGAGAATGCCAACGCGCCAGCAGGTGGACCAGAGGTGCCACCACGAAGCCCACGAGTGTCCCCTCGAGTGTCCCCTCGGCAGGTCCCAGGCAGAGGAAGGGAAGTGCTGCGCGACTGGGCACTTTACGGGGGGTACCGGAGGATGCGCAGCAGCGCAGAGTACTTACGAGATGGTACCCCGGAGCTTCTGGAGAAGGGAGGTGGGCTCGCCAGCCTCGGCACTGCTTGGGGGGGCCCTTCCCCCGGACTTGGGGCTCTTGGCATCAGGCTCATCTTCTGCCATCCCAGCAGGAGGGCTAGCGAGGACCCAGGACGGGAAGATGTAACTTCCCTGCCCCCTCCCCGGCGCCCCACGGGGACCCTCCCGGGGGGCGCAGAAAACCTCCTAGCGATCTCGGTCCTCCCCCCCGGGAAGAGAGAGGAGGATGCACGGACACCCGCACCCCTGGGCCCGCGCATCCCCAAGGAGGCCCGGGCCACGTCCATCCTCCCCGCAGAGCCCCGGCCGGCCGGAGCGGGCAGCGCAGAGCGGCCGGACCCGCGTCCCCAGCCACGCTGCCCCCTCGCACCCGGGCAGCCCTGCTCCCGGCGCGACCCCCACCACCCAGCCCCTCCGAACAAAGTTCCCCGCGCCCCACCGGCCCCCGCCCGGCCGCACTGGCCAGGGAGGCCGGGACGGAGCCCCGGGACCCCGGCCCGCGCCCAGGCGGCCCCTGCGTCACGCCGACACCCCACCCGGGCGCTCCCCGCCCACCCCGCGCTCCTCGGGGGCGCGGGGGGCGGCCCTGCGGGGCGGGGCGTCGCGCGCCCGGCGGGGGGCGCGGGGGGCGCGGGGGGCGCGGGGTCCCGGGTCCGGCACGTGCGCGCGGGGCCGGGAGGGCCGCCGCGCGCCCCCCGCGCCCCCGATCCCCGCGCCCTACCTCGCTCGGGCGCCCCCCGACTCGGGCGCCCCCCGGGTGCGGCGGAAAGAGAAACTAGCTCGGAGCCACCTTCGCTCCGGCCCAGCCCCGCGCGCGGCCCGGCCGGCCGGTGCGCGGCTCCGGTTCCTTTTTTCTGATTGGCTGGCGTCGCCCCGATCTGCCCGGATACTCGGGCGATCCGCCCTGCCATTGGCCGCCGCCGCCGCCGCCCGGAGACCCGAGCGCCGCGCTCGGCCCGCGGCCGCGCAAGTCTGCCTGGCAACAGGCTCCGATTGGCCGCGGGCGGAGAAGCCCCGAAGTTGGGCCGCTCGGAGCCCGGAGGGGGAAGTCCGGCCTGGGTTTCGGTTAAAACTGGGGTCCTCGGGCCTGCCGGGCCCGGGAGGTGCTGCTCTTAAAGGGACCGCGGGGCGAGAGGGCCGGGCGTTGGCTCGTGCGTCCCTGGCATCGCCTTCTCCCGCGGTTCCGTTTTGCCCTGGGTCATCGGGGCTCCTGGAAGAGGAGAGTCCACGGCTGACCAAGTGGCCAGGAGAGCGTGGGGAGTGCTGATGGGCATTCGCGGTACTGTCTCCTGACCCCCCCCTTTGATCAAAAACAGGTTGAACTGCGCCAGGAGTAAGTCCTGAGTGCAGAGCCCTGTGCATCGCCGGGTGTGACCCAAAAAGCAAAAAAAAAAACCAAAAAAAAAAAAATCCAGGTTGAACCCCCACTGCCCACGCCCTGTGCACAGCAAGCGCCCAGGACAAGGCAGACACGGGCTCCGGTTCCTGGAAGGAGGTCTGGAAAGGGCAGCGTTTGGAGGAAAGGCGCGCACCTTGCCTTCCCCAGTGTCCTTTACCTTCCTGCAGACGGCCAGCCAGCAACCCCCCACCCAGGTCCAGTACTCAGCGAACACTGGAATTTTGACTGACTCCCCCTGAAGGTGCTCTGTGCCCGCATGAGTTTTGACTGCAAGGAACGCCCAGGGAGGCAGGGATTCTTCACCCTCTCCCTTCAGGAAGACTTTGGAGATAAGGGATCATTTGAAAACAATGAAGCTTTTTCCAAGTGTAGTCCACACTTGGCATCTGACTTCAGAGGTCACCCCTGCAGAATGACAACTTTTTTTTTTTTTGCTTTTTGGGGTCACACCCAGAGATGCTCAGGGGTTACTCCTGCCTCGTGCACTCAGGAATTACTCCTGGCGGTGCTTGGGGGACCATATGGGATCCCGGGGATTGAACCCCGGTCGGCCGCATGCAAGGCAAACGCCCTCTCCACTGTGCTATCTCTCCAGCCCGAAAATGACAACTTTTTGAATGGAAGTCTTTTGTTTTACATCGTAGGTGTACGTTACACCCCACCAAACTAAATTTGCAGTCCTGACCTATGTTGCCTCCTCCCTTCCCAACCTTTGAGCACTTGAAAGGGAGGATCATTAAAAAAAATAAACAGAGGGCCAGAGAGATAGCACAATGGGTAGGGTGCTTGCTTTGCATGTTCTTGACCTAGGTTTGATCCCCTGAGCCAACCAGAAGTGATCCCTGAGCACAGAGACAGAGAGTAGGCCCTGAGCACAGTGGGTGTGACCCAAAATCCAAAGGGAAAAAAAAGGAGAGTGTAGGAAGACCCTGAGAGCTGGAGCCCGTTTGACTCTGAGTATCACATGCTCCCCTGAGCACCCAGTGGGAACCCCCAAGTGACTCCCAAACACTGAGTGACTCTCAAAAGCAAAAAAAACCCGGGCCTCCTACACCTAGTCTGTTTAATTATCCACCCCTGGCCACACTCAGGGGCTGCTCCTGGCACTGCAGGGAGTTAAAGCAGGTTGACTTCATGCAAGGCAAATACCTTAAACTTCGTACTCTCTCTCTCCAGCTCTTAGTTTTTGTTAATTAAAAAAAAAAATAGGATTTGAACATACAGGAAATAGAGTTTTCTGAACATGGCCCTACTGCTGATTCTACGGACCAGTGAGGAATGTTGACATTCCCATCCAGGGGTAGAACCTGAGGCGGAGAGAAACTATGGCCGTGTGTGCACATTCCTAGCATGCTCCCAGCCTGGGTTTGATTGCCAGCACTACTCTGTCCCCCGGGCAATTCAGGGTGGGACCCCAGAGGCAGGGCCCCAGCAGAATCCTTGGACCCTTGCATTGAACCCCAGGCTTTTTTTTTTTTTGCTTTTTGGGTCACACCTGGCGATGCACAGGGGTTACTCCTGGCTCTGCACTCAGGAGTCACCCCTGGCGGTGCTCAGGGGATCATATGGGATGCTGGGAATCGAACCCAGGTCGGGCGCGTGCAAGGCAAACGCCCTACCCGCTGTGCTGTTGCTCCAGCCCTACCCCGGGCTTTTTGACTGAGGATCACCCCGAACCTTCTGACACTGCTTGGGAATCTACACTGTCCCCCCCCCCCAAAAAAAAGAGGCACTCTCTCTTTCCAGTTCCTTTGCACCCAAAAAGACCATTGTGGCTGTCGCTTTGGGGCTGGCTTTCCAGGAATCGATTCTCTGCTCTGGTCAGAACACACCCTTGAAGCTCTCCGCATGCTGAAGGAGGCCATGAACAGGGCTTCTCTGGACACATGGCCCTGCAAGTTCTGAGGGGACAGCCAGAATCGCTGGGGACAGCTGCTAAGAGCAAGCCGTGAGATGCTCTCACCCAGTAGAGCAGAACAAACTGTCCACAGGGTCCCGGGAACTCACGGACTTCTGAGCAAAGGAATGTTCCCATTGCCTTAAGCTGCCGTTTTGAAAAACGGTGTTACACTGTAGCGGATACTGGGAAGATGTTGCATTTGTTTCCAGGTTACCTTTAGAAATGTTGTCCATTGTGTTTGGTAGGGTGGTAGGTGTTCAGTATTCAAGGGCCCAGTGCCCAGCCCAGTGCTGCTTGGACTCAGCACCACTGAGGCTCGTCAGGGCACCCCAGTCGTGCCTGGGGAGCTCCAGGAACTTGAAAGTTGAACTTAAGCCTTGTGCAAGGAACGACCAGCTCTCTGGCCCCTGGACCGGCTCCCTGCTCCAGCTCCACAAAAAACACAATTTTTGTGTGTTGTTTTTTGGGTCACACCTGGCCGTGCTCAGGGGTTACTCCTGGCTCTGCACTCGGAGTTCACTCCTCCTGGCAGGCTCAAGGGAACATGGGGGGTGTTTGGAATTAAACCCAGGTTGGCAGAACGGAAGGCAAACACCCTACCCGTTGTACTATTGCTCCAACCCCCAGCTTGTCAGCTTTTAAATAAGCAATGGTCTCTTTTTCATTTCTATTTTATTATAATGAGTATTTGTCACACCTGATGTGCTCAGGCTCTACGCTCAGGGATCACACCTTGCAATGTTCAGGGGACCCTGTGTGGTGCCAGAGACTGAACTCTGGCCGGTCATTTGCAAGGCAAGTGCCTTACCTGCTATGTTATCATTCTTCTGCCCAGGAAATAGTTTCCATTCTAGTGGGGGCAGGCTGAAGCCCTGACAGCTACACTCTCACCCCAACAGCAGCCGCTATGCCTAAGGCCAGGCTGCACCACTGCATGACTGAGCTCCACAGAGATGCCGAACTTCCAGAAACTTCAGGTACACCCTTATTTTTTGACTGAACACTCTGAACCTTCTTGGAGTTGGGGTGGGCGACCTCCTCCAACGTCCTATACTCCCAGAAGCCACACCCATGTCCCACTGACTCTGCCATTTTTTTTTCTTTTTGGGTCACACCCAGCGATGCTCAGGGGCTACTCCTGGCTCATGCACTCAGGAATTCTCCTGGCGGTGCTCGGGGGACCATATGGGATGCTGGGAATCGAACCCAGGCAGGCCATGTTGGCTCCGTGCAAGGCAAACGCCCTACCGGCTGTGCTATCACTCCAGCCCCGACTCTGCCATTTTTAACAAGCTCCCTGCCCAGTTAAACATTCTGGATTTTCTGGATGACATCTCCAAATTCTACAGTACTAACATCCCAATGGGAGCTCACCAGACTGGATAGAAATGTAATATAGAAGCCAACTAAGCTTGATTAACAAAAACATTAACACAGAAGGTTCAACTAGCAACAACAGCTTAGCAAACCCTCAGACAAGGACTTAAAGTCCGCATACTGAGATAAAACAATTTTCATAAATTTTCTTTTATCAAAGTATTTTTTAATCATTCTATTATCACTTAGCAGTAAAAGAAATATCACTATCCACTATCACTATCACCCCGTTGTTCATCGATTTGCTTGAGTGGGTGCCATTAACATCTCCATTCATCCCTGTCATGTGCTAGTGTAGTCCAATGGCATATTGGGGGCTCTTTCAGGGTCAGGGGAATGAGGACCATCATTGTTACTGTTTTTGGCATATCAGGTATGCCACGGGTAGCTTGCCAGGCTCTGCCGTGCGGGTGGGATACTCTTGGTAGCTTGCCAGGCTCTCCGAGAGGGATGGAGGCCTTTGGGGCAGCCTCGAATCACCTTCACAGGTGTTCCCAGTCAGGCATATATGCGGGCAGGATACTCTCAGTAGCCTGCCGGGTTCTCTGAGAGTAAGAATTAGAGAATAAGAGGTCGTGCGGCTGCAAATGCAATATGAAATAAGTTATTGTGGGGCTGCTAAGGGGGCAGCCTTTGAGGGGTGGTTGGGAAGATGTGGACAATGGTGGAAGGAGGGTAACAGTGGTGGCGGGATTGGGGTCGGAACATTGAATGTCTGTAACAGATCATCATAAACAATTTCGTAAACCATGGTGCTTGAATAAGATGAGAAAAATAATACTTCTTTTTTTTTTTTATAGGACTACTGCTATTTATTCAGTCACTGATTAGCTGATTGAATTGGGCATGAACTCCACCTTACTTTTTTTTCTTTTTATATTTATTTATTGAATCACTGTGGGAAAAGTTACTAAGCTTTCAGGTTTAAATTTCAGTCATACAATGATCAAACACCTTCCCCTTCACCAGGACTCATTTTTCACCACCAAGAACCCCAGTATACCCCCCCCACCTCTCCAAATGCCTGTGAGGCAGATGATTTCTACTTAAGTCTTCTCTACATTGATTC